AGAGAGAGAGAGAGAGAGAGAGAGAGAGAGAGAGAGAGAGAGAGAGAGAGAGAGAGAGAGAGAGAGAGAGAGACTCAAGTGCCATGGAATAGACCTATGTCTATTTCCCATGAGTGAAGAAGAAGATACATCTGCTTCTGTTCCCTTGGGTTACCGACTACGTGCCTGTCTCAAGAGAATGCATAACGTCATCGAGTCAACATTCTCTCCTTCAGCGGAGAAGCAGCTCGGACTTCCTTCCGTCCTTGAGTGGAAAGAAGATGAGCTAATCTTTGTTTCCTTGAGCGACGAAGAGGACAGATTTACGCCGTCCCTTTGAGCTTTTAAGAAGGACATGGACTTTTATACTATGTAGTTCAGCCGATAAGCTTTCATCCATTCAGGATCTAGTCACTGAGCCCAAACTAGTTATGAACTACGTAAAGACGGAACTCTATCCTACTCAGAGAGAGACCTGATCTGCAACTGTACCACCCCCCCCCCAAAAAAAAGGGAAAACAAAACCATACAAAAGATCTGTAACTTCATCCATTCAGGACGCTGGACCCGCTTTCCAGCAGGTGAAGCTCCCCACCAATAGATCTCTGTTAGGGGCTAGGAGTGATTGCTCTTATCAACACCCCTAGCACCCCAAGGGATGTTTTCTCCAAAAAATAAAAAAGAAGAAGGAAAAAAAAAAGGATCTAGTTACCTTGTCCTGTCAGGATAAAGTCACCTGTTATTTCCAGGGAAGCAGATCGAAGACAATCTATATCTAGATTATGTTTTTATAGTACTATCGCATAAGACTCAGAGAAGTGGCACCTTCACTCCTTGAGCAGAGAACTAGCCCACCCTGCGTTCATCAAGCGCAGGTCCGAGGGAGTTGGGAGAGGGGTGGGTGGAGGGAGAGTTTAAGAATTAGATCTAGCTTGAGCAGATAAATTAAAATTTAAATAATTTAAATTTACACATCAGGTTTCGTCTACGTTACCTGTGCATTCCAACCCTTTCCTTAAAAACAAAAAAAAGAGACCCATCTTCATATCACATTTCCTTCAAGGCGAGACCTTAAACCACACAGTACCTACCGGTTGATGCGGACGTTAACGTGGTAGCCGAATCGGTCTGCCCGGCGGGTGCATATTCATTTGACCTGGGGGGGTACGAAAAATGCAGTAGGTACTGGCAACGGGAGGTGCCTTTGCGACCTCAAGAGATCAGTGTGTACCGGTTGATGTGGCCGTTAACCCGGTAGCCGAATCGGTCTGCCCGCCGGGTCCATATTCATTCGACCTGGGGGGGTACGAAAAATGTGGTAGGTACTGGCAACGAGATGTGCCTTTGTGACCTCAAGAGCTGTCTCTTATACACATCTAGATGTGTATAAGAGACAGGATTTGTTCCATATGCCCCTCCTCTCTCCCCTCTAATGCGAATGTTTCACAACACTGCATTTTACCGTCTAACTGCAGTCAAGCTCGACATCTTAACTGCAGTCAATCCTCTTGGAACGACGAATGCCGATCGTCCAAGCTGCGCACGTAAGTGCGCTTGAACAGCATTTTAATGCCGAGATTGACTGCTGAAAATAGGGTTAAAAGTTAAAACTTAAAACAGCAGTCAATCTCGACATCTTAACTGCATAAAATAAACTTGTTTCCTGCCCTGGACTAGAGCAATCCTCCATACAATGGACACAAGAGTCTACGTCGTTTCCATCTTCTAGTTGAAAAGCCCGTCGCTTCTACACACACCGGCTTCTCTCCGCAAATCCGTGTCAGCCTTCGCCTTCAAACAATCGTTCAGCAAAAGCTCAATTTAGCCCTGAAGGTCCCACAGCCACCTGGCATAGCATCCTCTCTCCTCAAGTTCCACTCTCTCTCTCTCTCTCTCTCTCTCTCTCTCGCGCGCGCGCGCGCGCGCGTTGGGAACTACATTTATGCTTCCTCGTCAATGGAAGAAACTTTTAAACTGACCTAGTTATCATCGCCTAATGACGAACTGCGTTCTGCGTTTCCTTGTTCCTTCAACTGAACGCCCGTCACATTGAGGATGCTGCCACGAACATGTGAGCCTCCCTCACTATCCAGTTCCATCTTCCGGTCCCATCCGTGTTTGGTCCATTCTCCATCAGTATCCCTGCCCTTCTTCTGCCTTGTTCTAAAAGTAGGCCACAGGGCAGACAAATGACATCCAATGTCAAAATAATGTCAGACTCATAGGCAGGCTGATGGAGACACACAGATGCATAGACTGACAAAGACTGACAAAGACTGACACAGAGTGACACAGACTTATGCCGACTGCAGAAAGACACATAAAGACTGCACCAAAGGTGCTGACACAGACTTACACTGACTGATGGAAAGACACACAAAGACTGCACCAAAGGCGCTGACACAGACTGACACAGACTGACAGAACGACACAAAGATTGCAAAAAGGCGAGCGCAAAGACTGACACAAAGACTGCACACAAAGCCCCCGACAAAGACTGACACACAAAGGCCCTGTCACAGACTGACAAAAAGGCCCTGACACATTGACACTCGGAGGATTTCACGCTGCACATATGTCCGGAGTCCCAGTCCCAGAGTCCCAGTTGGGTGGAGTCCCAGAGAATCCCAGTCCCACCAGGTCCCAGTAAGTTGAGTCCCAGGGTCAGTAGGGTCTCGTAGGGGTCCGTAGGTGGAAGCACCGTAGTCCAGTACAGATGGAAACGGAAGCGACGGAGGTCGGTAGAAGTCTACCGGCACCCATAGCGCAAATTTGCAGCAGCGTCCCAAGAGAGTCTGGAGACTTCCGGAACAACAAACATGCAGCCGACAGGCTGCGGGCGACCGGTACCAGTCCAAAGGAGGCAACACAAGTCCAGAGTCATATTTATAGCTGCTACAGTGACAGCGCTCAATGGTTGTTTGATTGCAAAGTTGCAGGCGCCGCTAGATGGTTGTGCGGCGGCGCGACTCGAGCAAGCGTGTGCCAGGAGGAGGAAGAAGGGCGCCTTGGTGACCGTTGATAGGGTTTTGGAGGGGAAAGGAGAAGACGAAGAAGGCCACACCCACAGAGGTCGAAGGTGAAGCGATGCGGGTGTATTCAGGGGTAGATCCAAGACGAGAGAGAGAGACAGTGAGGCAAGTGATAGAAGTTTGGAGCGTGGTGAGGTTGAGCGATACAGGTCCCGCGAGTGAGCAAGAGAGAAGAGAGAGAGGGAGTCGTCCCGCGAGTGAGCAAGAGAGAAGAGAGAGAGGGAGTCACAGTACATACCCGGATCCGGTTGTTGTTAGAGTGATATCAACGCCACTGGATACTCGGAGTCTTTCATTCATTGTATAATATAACAATCTTAGTGAATTTTCAACCCAAAAAAGAATAAAAAAATTAAAAAATTCTCAGTGATGCCTGTGTGCTGATTTGAGTTTCATCTTCCGGCTTTTGTGTGAACTCTCATGTGAATCTTCTGCTTACGTATGCTGGGATTTGGTGTTGAATATGGGAATTTTGGGAGGATCATTTCAGACACAGAATTACTGAGACAGATTGACTAAGATTGTTATATTTTGGGAATTTTGGGACTGAGAGAAACACGCACAAAAAGACTGCCACAAAGGCCAGCGCAAACACTGACACGACGACTGAGACAGATTGACTAAGATTTGGGTGGTGGGGGAAGAAGGGGAAGACGCAGGGGAAATTTGGGTGGTGGGGGAGAAGGGAGCTTTAGCAAGCACAGTGGGGGGGGGGGGGGGGGGGGGGGGGGGGGGGGGGGGGGGAGCGGGAAAGAGTAGGTGGGACTCACCTGAGTCACCTCCTCATCCTAGTTTTAAACTAGTGATAACGAATTTCCTTAGTGTCTCGAGGTCCCTGGGTCCTCTATGATTTCCCACAGGTTCCATTCCGTTGAATAGGATTAACGTCGGGAAGCCGGGTATTTCATACCTCTCCGCAAATTGCGGAAACGCATACGCATTGAGACATGCCACCTGCAAACAGTGAAACGTTTTTTTTTTTTTGCGATGTCATTATTCATTATTCCACCTCCTCTTCCCCTCCAGCAGCCAATCACACCCAAAACTTCCACATGCACGCATGTCCATATTTCAACATAGGTTTACCTAAACACGCAAGATTACACCCACACACACACCCACATACAAACAGACACACACAGGGATGTGGTTCCCCGCACTCACCATTCCCCCACACACAGGGAAGAGTACACACACACACACACACACACACACACACACACACACAGCACACACACACACACACACACACACACACACACACACACACACACAGGATTGCAACGTTGGTGTGAGTAAAGCCGACCACTTTTCTCTCTCAGGGGCATCGCTAACTCTGGCTGATGTGGTGAGTCCTTATCCATCACTCAAATGCATCCTGGACAGACTGTCAGTCCAGGTTCAACCTCCTGATGCGTCAGGGAAAGTCCGACAAAACAGTCTAGCACAGTCATGCTTTTTTTGAGTGTACAGCGAATATGACAACACACACACACACACACACACACACACACATTGCTGTGGGTGTCACTCCCATGGGCTGCTCTTTTGGAGCACATGGAAGATGGGGGACTTTTATGGTATTTTAAGCAGTAGAGCTCCTGTTGTCGCGTGGAGATTCTGTGGAGTTATTTTGTGGTTTTGTGGGCCGACTCAGAGGGCTCTTCCAATTCTTTCGGACCATTGGAGGTTCTGATCGGTGCTTTCTTGTTGGTAGTGCCTCCGTGTTGTGGTGCACTTATTTTTTGTGGTCCATGCAATGTATTTGTTAAGGATGTTGCCTTTTGTCCTTCATCGATGTATGCCCAAATGTTTGGGTCTGTGCCTGGTATGTGATTTTGTGCAGCAGGCTGGAATTGTACGGTGAGTGGGCACTAGGCGCTTTCCTTTACCTTTTATATTTTGACGATATATATATGAGTCGGTGAAACTCCGACGAAACAGTTTTGTCACAGCCCCTCGTTTGTTGTCCTCTTCTCCCTCTCTGCCTACGGTTTACCGGGCAGTTCTGTTTGACGATATATACCACGACTTGGCTAGCACCCTGCTACAGTTTTCTCCAGTCAGGTCGAGCGGCAGTGGTCGGTGCCGTCACTACAGGGCCATGCCGTGCCTCTAGTGCCAGCGTCGTGTCTGGAGTGTATTTTTTGGCTGTGACGAGAAAAGGTTAACCGACCCCCCATTTTTCACCTCAATTTATAAGAAAACCATAAGGCCATCCGAAGCAAACTTCACACCAATCTATAGAGTGCACTTCTTACTAACATATTATAAAAAAATACCCAAAAAAAAAAAATTAAAAACACATAAAACAGCAACTCAAAAGTGCAATTTCAGGCAATTTTGCCAAAAAACAACTTCATCAAAATTTCAGGATTTTCAGGATGATTAACAGCACAAATTCTAATAACCCAAATGGCACCAAATTTGACACACAGCAAGCTTGTCCTAAAACAAAAACAGACAAAAAAAAAAAAATCCAACAAAACACAAAATTTGACCCCGAAACCCTAATTTCAGGATCATTCATCGTTACCTAGGGCCGAAAAGTGGGGGTCCCCATTAACCACTTGTGACAGACCTTTCTTTGTTTCGTGGGTGTTTTGCTGGCTTGTGATGGGGTGCGAACCGACAGTCTGTAGAGTTTTCCATCTGGTCTGGGTGAGTGATAGTCTGCTTTGATTTTCGTCACAGGTACCTTGAGGGCAGTGGTTGGTGCCCACCTCAGGGTATCAGTTGTCGGGCAGTCATTGGTGCTTCACCACAACCGGGGTTAGGTGGATTATCACTTACCGTGTGATCAGTTAGGGGATTCTTTATGCAGACTGTCGAGGGTTCAGTCTCCTGGTGAGTCCATGAAACTCCGACGAAACAGTTTGTCACGCCCTCTCCCCCCTCACCTGACCTCGTTTCCTCTCTCCCTTCAACTTGGAACTTTGGAACTATCGAACTTTGCAACTTTGGAACTGTGGAACAACTTGGAACTTTGGAACTTTGGAACAATTTGGAACTTTGGAACTTTGGAACAACTTGGACCTTTGGAACTTTGGAACAACTTGGAACTTCGGAACAACTTGGAACAACTTGGAACTTTGGCACAACTTGGAACTTTGGAACAGCTTGGAACTTTGGAACTGTGGAACAACTTGGAACAACATGGAACTTTGGAACAACTTGGAACTTTGGCACAACTTGGAACTTTGGAACAACTTGGAACTTTGGAACTATGGAACTTTGGAACTTTGGAACTATGGAACTATGGAACTATGGAAACACTTGGAACTTTCGAACTGTGGAACAATTTTGGAAGTATGGAACTTTGGAACTTTGGAACTATGGAACGACTTGGAATTTTGGAACAATGGAACAACTTGGAACTTTGGAACTTTGGAAGTTGGAACAACTTGGAAATTCGGAACTATGGAACAACTTGGAACTTTGGAACTTTGGAACTTTGGAACTATGGAGCTATGGAACTATGGAACAACTTGGAACTCTGGAACTGTTCAACAACTTCACAGCCAGAGACCATGGTGTACGAATGAATGAATGAATGAACGAAGTTCGAGTTCAATGAATGAACGAACGATGAACCTGGCCATCGACTTCGAATTATGCACCGTTAGTACGACCAGGAACCATGCACCGGAAAGTATAGGCAGGAGCCATGGACCAGGCTTGGGACTATTGGGACTTCGGAACTCGTCATCATTGCAAATTTCAATTTCAACTCAGTCCACCTTTCCAAGGAAGAAAGTTTGACTGTTCCCTTTAGTGGATATGCTGTGAATGACCATTCCCAACTGACTCTGCCACCACTGGATCATATCATCATAGTTGGATTTGAATTTTAAACTGTGTAGCACACCGAACATGTTGTTCGGGGCTTTCCCGAACGCCTCCCGAACATGTTCGGGTGTTCGGCCGAACGCCTCCCGAACCGTGTTCGTTCGAATGTGTTTGGTCGAACGTAGTTTTTTTAAAAGGTTTTTTATTTTTAACTTGCGTCTGCTTACAAAATTGAACATACCTCCCAGGCAAAAGTTGTTTGTATTAGTTTTGACATAACATTTTTTTTTCCCAGATTTTTCTGAGAAACTTCTTCTTTTTTTTATGTTCGCGTTCGGAGGGTTCAACGCTCGTTCGAGTTCAGTCGCGAACGTTCGGGTTCAATCAGCGAAAGCGAACACGATGCTACACAGGATTTGAATTTAGACCCCATTCGATCATAGCTGGATCTGAATGTAGCCCGTTTGATGGTGGTTGGGTTTGAATTTAGACCGTCCGATCATGGTTGGATTTGAATTTAGACCGTTTGATCATGGGTTGGATTTGAATTCAGACCATCGGATCATGATTGGATTTCAATTTAGACCGTTTGATCATGGTTGGATTTGAAATTAGACCATCGGATCACCATCAACATCATCATCATTGCGAAAAGTGCTCCTTGCGTAAAACCAGTTCAAATTAATTATGTAAAAAAAAAAGCAGTTCAAACTTCAAAATTCAAAATTCAAATCCTATTTTTTAAATTCCATCAGATTGCAGAAGATTGAATCCCAGCGTCACAAGAGGAAAAATGAGATTCGCAAATTTCAAAATTGGGAAGGCAGGCGAAGACATCATTGTCAGTACCTGGACATCATGCTTGTCCTCGTGCAATGACTTGGCAAGGCCCTTCCAAGCGGCCTCCATCTGCTTACAGTATGGGCACCACGGCGCATAGAACATAACGAAAGTGGGCCTGCAGCAGAAACAGAGGTAACAGGAGCAGAAAGACCAGATACAGAGATTTCAGCAGCAACCTGGAGAAGAGCAGCCTTTTTTTTTCTTTTTTTCCTTTTTTTTTTAAACCACCACTACCTCCGATCCTGATTTTGCCGAGCCTGGTTTTCGCTGCGCACCGAGTTCTGCCGAGCGGAAGCAGTTGCATCCAAAAAGCAATAAGGGAAAAAGAAAAAAAAAAAAAGAAGAAGAAAAAAAAAAAACCTTCCTGAACGCCATGATAAACCATCAGATACATTCTATGAGGTGCTCGTGCGACTGTGCCCTCAGTGAGGGCGCGTGTCCCCGACAAAAAACAGATAAAGAACTTGAAAGAAGGAAAAAAAAAAAAGCATCCCTTATGCTGTCATCGAGGGCCGATACAGGATGCTACAGCACCAGTGTGAGTATGAGGTAAGTGAGACGGTTACCTGCCATGCATGAAATACGCTACAAGGACATGAAAACAA